TTTGTGACCGGTGGGCGGAGCGTCGGGGGGGGGGGGGTGGGGGCAGTGCCGCCTCTTCCAACACGTCCGGTTGGACGCCGTGCGGAGCGCCCGCGTAGCGGGGAGGACCCATCCACTATAGCGGCGGCGTTGAGCAGAGCACGCGGCCCCGTTCAAAAACCCACACCGTTAACCCCGCTCTCTTGTCTCCCGTCCCCTCGGTCTCGTTCGATGTTTCTGTCTGTGGGGGGGGGGGGTTGGATTCGTCCGACGAGCGCAGGCTGCTCTTGCAGCCAAGCAAGCGGCTGAAGGTGTGCGAGGAGCGGCTGCAGATGCACCGGCAGATGCACTCGCGCGGCGCCCACCCGCGGCACGGCGGCGCCGCCGACGCCACCGCCGACCCGTACGCCTTCAACGACGTCGACGACCAGGTCAGCATCGGGCCCGGCAAGAAGGAGCGGCCGGGAGGCGAGCGCTCGGCCAGCAAGAGGGCGCACCCCGACCACCGGGTGAGGTGGCCCTGCGCCGGTGGCCACGCGTGCGAAGTGGTGCGCGTGCGTGTGTAGATGGGATAGAAGCAAGTACCGTATTCTCCATAATATGAGACGCACTTTCCCACCCCTGCCAATTTGCAGCAATTGTTGGTGGGGGATTTGGTGTTAGGAGGGGTGGCGCAAGGTTTCGCGCGCCGCGCTCGAACCCCGGCAACCCGGGTTCGATTCCTTGCCTCACGGCCGGACTCGGTCTCAAATGAGTACCTGGTGCGGGTGTGTCGTGAACATCCGCCACTGGGGAGACACAGCCGGTCCGGGCGTGGTGCTGGCCACCCACCCCCTCGTGTGCCGTCCCGGCCTTTAATAGGTTGTTGCTAACCGCACTGGGCCCAGCATTCTGCTAAAGCTACATGGGGATCTTTGTCTTTTGTGTGGAAAGCCGGTTGGTACAGTAGGGAGGCACAGGTGGTGTATCTGCCAGTCATCTCGGTCAACCCATGGCACCTGTGTCTGTCCCTCCTGTGAGCGAGCCTTCGACATTTCACGTGGCCTTAATTGCACAGCCTGGCACAAACGCCATGGTGTGATTGGTTGTTGTGTGGGAAGCGGTAGTGTAGTTGTCCAATGCTCTGCGCTACATCATTGACGTACCTGTCCCCGAAAGTTATGCAGTGTAGTAATTATTCGCACTGCGGTGTCCTTGTTTTTTTATTCCGCGCTTCTTTACTTCAACGCGAATCCGAATATTTATTTGTCCTGGAGAAATCCGATGAGCTATGAAGCTCTTTTTTTTTACCCCACCGATGTCGAGTTGGGGCACAGTGTCAGAAAGTTACGAGAACAAACGATACCAAAAAAGTACATACAGTAAAGGTAAGAACAATCACAGAAAATAAATTAGTAAAATAGATTAAGGTACATAAGTTCAAACTGCATGAGTACACCGATTCCCAAGCTTCGGCAAGGGAGCAACGCAACATGAAAGGCAGTCACTCGCCACAATACAAAAGCAACCACACACGGTAGTTCCTTTGAAATTGCACATTAACATTGAACTATCGATCAACGGTAGCTAAGCAAGTGGCTGAAAGGATCAACGTTACAAAGCCCATTTTTGCAAATGCAGTTGTGTCCAGCACTAATCTTCTGCTGCTTCTAATCCCTTACTCCGGTGGCGTCCTCCTGCACTTTTACACACGGCAAACAATTTGCATCACCTCTCGCCAATCCCAGTCGAGAGTTTTTTGTTTGTTGCGTGTACACGCGCATGCGTGTCTTATCATTACCGCGGGAACGTTTTGTTCGCGAGCGGCCTGCAATGCTTTGTGTTTGTTAGCTTGTGCGTTGGGTTTTCCGTGTTTGACGTTTGTGCGTTTGCATGTTTTTGTGTTGTGTTGTTCACAGACGGAAGGTCATGGTCTAGCGCTGTGATGAAACTCCTGCCTGGATAGCAAAGACGCCATGTCCATATTTAGCCCCGCTCCACAGTCCGGTACGGTGCCCGTGTGTGGTTTGTGTATGGTGTGTGTGTTTTGTGTGTGCGTGTGGTGCTTTGTGGTGTGAGTGTGTAGCATATGTGTGTGGTGTCAGTGTGGAAGGGTGTATGTATGGGAGGGAGTGGAGGTATGCTGCACGTGGGAGTGTGTGGGATGTTGTGGGTGTATAATGCGTGTGTGGCAATGTGTGCATTATGCGTGGGGAGCAGTAGTGTAGCGGTTAGCGTGTTGCGCTACGAACCTGGCGACCGGGGGTTCGATTCCCGCTCACGGCCAACACCAGTGATGATTATTTTAGCAGTCCTGTACCCCTCCTCTAGATCGGACTCGGCCTCAAATGATGTAGCTGGTGCGATGTGTAAACATCGCCACTAGGGAGACAAAGGCGGCCGGGGCGTCGTGTTGGCCACTCCTTCATATGTGCTCGTTTAACAGCACTGCCCCCAACGCTCTGTTAGGCTTTATGAAGGGTCTTTGTCTTGTATGTTTGTGTTATTGCTGTGGCTCATACCCACAAGGCAACATTTAGCATTCATACTGCAACGCGTCTTGAATATCAGGATAATTCAGGCATTCGATGCGCTATAGTCACTGGCTCTGCGTCATTCGAGTCTATTTCAAATGAAACCCTTTCCTGTTCCGAGTGACGTACATGAACTTCGTCAGTTTTTATTCTGTTCCGATTCTGTACGTGTACGTCATCGGAAACGAAATCGAATAAATTCCGAACGGAATTGGAAAGTAGAAGGCCATGCGGGGGAGGGCCTGTGGCACCGTGTTGGCACCAGCTACCGTTAGTGTGGTCCTGTCGCTACAGTTATCTGCGGTGAAAAACAGCGGCGCTACGCCCCTCTAAGTAAAGTTTTAACGCTTGAACCGCTCGCGCGTTCCGAGATTCAGCGGTCAATGGGACACCCACACCCTGCAACTAGCAGACGTCTCGGAAAGGGTTAAGATTAGGATCTCGGTGTGCCTGTGTGGTGTTGTAGGTGTCCCACGTGTGCGTGACGTGTATACGTGTCCACGCGAGGCAAATAAACGTTAATTGGCGCGTCACGTTGGACTGTTTTAATAATCCTCGGGCGCGTGCAGCGGTTTGTATTTAAAATGAAAGGAGTAAATGATGAACATGGACAGATGTAGCGTGTGCCGGTGGCTCGCGAGAACCGGAAGTTTGGGAGCCTCTTGGCTGGAGTGCAGCCTGTGAGAGATGTTGGATGTGAAACCGGCGGAGGTAGTCTGGCTCGGCACATGACGTTATGACCCGTGCAATCATAACGGACCGTTATTATAGTGCACCCGATATATTTGTTGGTGTTGGAATTAACCTGCTTGCTCTGTGGTGTGATGTTCAGGCATGGTCGCCTGTTCGAAATGCCAGAGCTGTTTTTAACTATCGGTGTATAAACAACTGCAGGAACATCAATCCGAGTACCATCCTAAACACACTCGGGTGCTGCTAACGATCATACCACGCGGCATCGCCTTTACGGCAAAAATAATTTAAAAAAACACAACGTGCTTACTTCACCGCACTTGGCTCGAACGATATCCTAAAGGTTAAGAGATGTTGAACTTTGGTGCGCGTGTTTGTGCAGTGCGCGTCTGTGTGCCTAAAGCGGACACGAGGCCCGCAGCAGCTCGACGAGCCTCATGAGAGAAGTGGACCTGCGGAGTGTCCTTTGAGGACCTTGAAAATCTCTTTGACAACTCCTCGGATGACGACATGGGGGTAAGGGACGCACGGGTAAGGGACGCACGGGGGGGGACACACGGGAGGGGCGGGGGGCAACACGGAGGGGAACGCACGGATGGGATTTCTCCAGGATTAAATAGAGATTCTGATTGTCTGGCTGCTGCAATATTATTTTATTGTTATTCATAATACAGATTGATTGTTTTGGGTTAGATCGCATAAATATAAACGTCGTCAAACCCGCCACCACTTGACACAGACAATTATGTAAGGTTTGTCACGTAAACAGAACGTGCCAATTCATCACTAGTACAGCACGCCGGCGTGTTGGAGAGCAAATCACAATAATTCACAATGGAGTACGACGTTTTCGAGCATCATTGGGCGACAGCCAGACTTTGTATTGTTATTGTTTGCAGGGGAAAGCCTTGCCGAGTGTTGGGGTCTTTTTCAGGTAGGTCCTGCTAAGTTTTACGCAGCGAGGGTGGTGATGACTAGTACGCGCCGCGTCCCTCATCAGTGAGACTACAGCGGTCGCTCTCGGTTAACTGTTACATCGGTGAACGTTTTTTTGATGCGGTTAACTTGGTGCTGAGCCATGCCCTCGGCCAATAAATGATGCCCTTTTTACGAGAGTTGAAACCTCAACTGCCTTTGTTTACATTATAACGTTTTCTGTTTTGGCGGTGGAAAACGGCTCTCTTGCAGACTCGGTCATCTTTGTTTGTAACTTGCAGGTGAATTCGACTCGTGGTTATTTCGGTTCATTGGGGCTTTCATGGAACGGATTAGAAGCGTTAACCGAGGGACTCCTGTAATTTGCGAGGCAATTGGGACGCCGGCACACGCGCCCTCTGCTCTCGTTCCGTGTCACGTCACGAGACCTTTAATGCCCGCCCACTACAAAGCGGACGACTGTGCTTGAACGCCACATTTTTTTCAAACGAGTGCCGCTACCGCCGGTGCCTTGTCGCAGGAGCCCATTGGCTCATTGGTCAAACCCCCAATGCACACGAGCGGAGTTTTTTTTTTGGTTTTCGGTCCGCCTTCACTGTTTGTCTCCTCTGCTCGTCTGTGTCGCGACTGTTCCCCTTGCTGCCACGTGCTCGCTCACTCGTGTTGCGTGCCTCCTTCCCCCGCCATCACCCCCCCCCTGTGTGTGCTCTGCAGGGTCCATTGCCAGCAAAGCCGGCGCCCCCTGGTGGTGGAGGAGAGGAGAGGCATGCGTCGCGAGAGGGTAGACTGCCTCCAGCACCTGCCCCTGCCATGCCTCCCTGTACACTGAGTGAGTAGCGCCCTCTGCCTGCTCAAGTCGCGCACACATGGGCTTCCAGTGGGCCGAACGAATGGGTTTATAAGCTTTCACTCATTGCACAAAGATTGACAAACTAATTTCTATAGAACTGCTTTGTGTTTAGTTCTTCCCCCGGTTGGCTATGTACGGTGCGAAATAAGTTTAATATACATACACACGACAAAGATCCTCTGCGTAACCTACACAGGCTGTAGAGGGGCAAGTGGTGTCGGTGAGCCGCTGTTAAGGCTGACACTGCAGTGGGGGGGGGGGGGGGGGGGCTGTGTCCACCACCACCGTCAGTGTCTTTCCCAGTGCCGATGTTTACAAACTGCACCGGTTAGTAATTTAAGGCTGAAGTGAGCCAGTGGGGGAGGCCGAGGACCGACCGCTTCAGGTATTCGTCTCTGTCGTTTCGGTCGTGAGCGGGACATCGAACCGTTGACGGCCTAGTTGGTAGGTAGCCAAGCACGCTTGACCACTGCGGGGAGCGGTCGCCGTGTGCCCTAACCGACACGCGTCGGCTCGGCACGTTGGGCTGGCAAAGCCGTGTAAACCGGGCCCGCGCAGAACAACGTGACGAATGTGCGAACCCGCGAGTCAGAGCCCCCGGGCTCCATACACCGACCGCTTTGCCTCGAGTAGTACAGTCGTGTTAGGCTGTCGCGTGTTTTTTTTTGCCGTGTTTTTTTTTTATACTTGCACGAAGGTTTGCTGAAAGCCTTTGTGCATTACGTGTGTTTGTTTTAACATTTGTAGAGATGATCCGTTGTGAACTATCAGAATCGGAATATTAAAATTTTGTATTGATGCTGGAGAAATCCGATGAGCTTATTAAACTCTTTTATACAGATGTCCAGTTGGGGCATGGGGTAAAGACGTTACAACAACAAAAAATAATACAAAAATAGGAAAGGTAAGCAAATAAAAATAAAAAAATAAAAATAAAAATAAACTTTTTTTTTATTTTACTAGGTAAGGCCCACTCTGCTATTAGCTTCAGAAGCGACCTGGCTATCACAATTGATAGCTCAACGAAGTGGCTTATCACGTGGACATTTATAGCAGCTAAATTTACAGCAACTAAACCGTCCTATAAAGTTGTTCTGCATTCGGTGCGTTGGGGGGGGATGGTGGGCTAGCCGTGTATAAAATGGGCCCATTTGATGGATAAAATGGGCCCATTTGATGGACAAGCTGTCAAAGCCACCGAGACGCAACTCGGTAACCCGCTGCTCGTAGGAGCCACCTCGACGCGCCGTCCTCGCTCTCAGAGGAGCGGCGCCCTCCCTGGCCGCGCCGCTTATCCGATCCCCCCCCCCCCCCGTCGCTTTTTCCCCCGCAGCCTTCGGACAGGCACGGCGGCCTCGCGTGCCCGGCCGTGACCGCTGCCGTTCTCACGGCCTTCTTCACGAACTCCATCCGATTTGACAAACTCACGTCGGAACACGTCAGAATCCACGCGCGTGTATGCTTTTTTTTTTCTTTTCCCCGTTGTGCTTTATTTGTGTGTTTTTAATAGCGGAACGTTTTGTTTTCCTTCGCGCGCAGGCTCGGCCGACCTGCAGCGAATGTTCCCCACGCCGCCGTCCCTGGAGCAGCACCCGGCCTTTCTCGCCCGTCAAACCCGAGCTGGCAAGGACTACCTGAACCCGGACTCGGCGCCCGGCCAGACGCTGCTCGATCCTCACGGGTCCTCCCGTGGCTGCTCAGCCGGCGCCCTTCGGCCGGAGATCGAGGATGACATGGGCAGCCCCAAACCTGAGGAGCTGAAGGTAAACTTCCCCCCACCCACCACCCCTCCTCAGTGGTGGAGACTTTGATTGTTCCCACTGTCGCTCGTATAACAGGAGGTTCCGTTGGTTCGTCGATCTTGACCCTGACGCCTGCTGCTGTATATTTGGAGTTTGCGGTGTCTCTCCAGGGGTCGCGTGAGATTTTTCTTCAGTTCCTCCGGTTTTTTCCCTCCACATTTTAGACATCGTGCCGTTGAGAGTATTTGGCTGCTATAAATTTCCACGTGATAAGTAACTCTTTGAGCTATTCATTTGTGGCCAGGTCGCTTGTCAAAGCAGCTGTGTTATAGCTCAGTGTGGACCTTGCCTGGTAAATACAAATAGTTTAGTTTACATTATAGGGTGTGTAGATCTCCTCAACGTTGGCTCTAGTGCCAACCAAGGTTTATATCGCCGGTCTTACACCACTGCCAATGCAGTGTCTCAAACAAACAAAACATCTTAAGACGGACCAACTACAAAAACCTTTTCCCCTGAAAACGACCGCCACGTGCTGTGAAGGAGGGACCAATTGCCATAAAGGTAACCTACCGTGTGTTTTTATTTTCCGTCGTTCAGTCGCTCCAATTGTGCCGACGTCGGACGCAGCCTGCGGTGACCAACGTAAAAGACCGCGGGTTAACGTCCGAACCAAACCCATTTTAGTATTTTTAACGTTCAGGGGCCGGTTGCTGTTGACAACCGTGAGGTTTGTGTGCCACGGTGTGGTGAAGGTGGTGACGATATCCGCTCGCTCGATCACCCCCCCCCCCCTCCTCACCCCCGGCAGGACTATCTCGTTCGTGTTCCGCACCTCGAGGCTGCAGCCCTTCGTGGGCTCTCCCATGTTCGCGCCGCTCAAGGCCCTGCCCAGCGGGTGCTGCCTCCCCGTGCGCGTGCCCGACAGCGCCATCTACCGGCCCAGCTGACGCTCGGCAAACTCGACCCGGCCATGCAACGCGCTCACCGCTCCCTACAATACGAGACGTGTAAATACACACCCCCCGCTACCCCCGCGACGTCCGCCGCTACCGCCACCGCACGCGCAGCCCACCCCCTCCCGTCCTTGTCACGAGCACCAATAAAACATGGCGTCGCTTCGGGACACTTCTGTGGAATTTGTTTGTGGGTTCCGCCGCACCACCACTGAGTCTCGGGTGACTCGGAGTGACGCGGCCGGGATGCTCGGCGCAAGGCCAAGCGGCTCGCGATCGCAAGGGGTTGCGAGTTCTAAATCGCAGCTCATCATCTCTCCAGAGCGGATAAAGTGAATACCACTTTGTGAGAAAGTCAGCAGTGGGCTGTCTTTCTTAGATGGCCATGCCCCTCCATATGATTATGGAATTTTCACCACTGGCTCCTGGCTGTAAACATTCGATGAGCATCACCTCATTTTGGTACAAATAATTTTTAGGATTTTAAACTGAGAGCCAAACTTAAGGCCTAGTACGATTGGAGATTTGTTTTAAGTTGAGTGGAAACGGCATAAATATTGAGGGAAAACAAATTAAACCTCCTTGAATTTATAAAGCAGGAGATAATTCATCTGGCAAATTAGACAACTGCCTTAATTACCTAGCAGCGTCCTTTGGACGTGCCTGCCCATACCTCCGGCAGCAAAACTTTTTTTTATTATAATGCACATTAATGAAATTTAGAACGTGTGCAATAATTCACGGACTTGAACGATGACCAAGTGAGATGCAGAGCCCATGGTGAGCTCTCGCTCAAAAGCCAGGCGGAAAATAGGTGAGGGCGAGGTTGGGGCGCCCTTTAAGTGTTTGTTCATAGGTCTGTGCAGGTTCAACGGGACGATGATGATGGCCGTGTTTCTAGTTAGCCGGGGTGGGTGGCAGCCACGGACAAACGACGCCTGGCAGTGACACACCAGCCGCTTCCTTGCTTGCGCTCCAGAGGCAGGCTGCATGCCGATTTTTTCCGAGTGTTTTTTTTCTATTAGGCTTTCCACTGTCGTCCGTTCAACCGGCCCCCGTGTTTTGTGAGAAGTGTGACGAGGACCGGACCGAGGCGTGTTTTTTTTTAATCCGTGTGTGTGTGTTGTGTGTCGTCCCCCTCGCCTGTAAAGTGTCGCACGGCTGCACCTCGGAAATGCTTGGGCTTGGTCCGCACTCTGCAGACCCGATGCAAAAAGCGTCACAAACTCTCCCTCCCCGCCCCCACGCTCTCTGCAGAAACCTTCCGAGCGTGGGCAGCCTGGGCGACCAGGACTACCTGCAGATGAGCACGCCGCAGACCGGCACCCCGCTGGGCGGGGCAGGCGGCGGCGGCGGCGGCAGCAACGGCGGAGGCGGCGGAGGCGGTGGCGGAGGAGGAGGAGGAGGCGGCGGTGGCGTGCTGCCCTCCCCGGCGACGCCACGCTTCTCGACGCCGAACCCGCGCACACGTCCTGACGCACGAACGGCCGCGCACCCCCCGCGGCCCCGGCGGCCTCGCCAGCATCCCCAGCTCCACCAACTACAACTCGGCGGGCGACCTCTACTCGCCGGCCGCGTCCACGCCCTCCACCTTCCGGCCCGTCAACTCGGTGGAGCCGCCCGCCACGGCGGGGCAGGCGTTGCCGGAGGCGCACAGCCTCTACGTGACGCTCATCCTCTCCGACACGGTGCTCAACCTCTTCCGCGACCGCAACTTCGACTCGTGCTGCCTGTGCGCGTGCAACATGAACATCAAGGTGTGATTAATTGAAAAAAAATAAGATATATATTATTCGTCGTATTGCGGTTACGGTGCATGCTAAGGTTGGTGAGGTGTTCCTGCCATCTGTGCGAGGTTTTTTTTTAATATATACAGGGACTTGTCTATTTACGAATATTCCACTTGCTAACTTTCAGAGATATGAAGAAACCTGTCCGTAAGTTCAACCGCTGTCCAATAGAATGGCGGTGGCGGGATCTACATCTGCATAACGTGAAGAGCCAGTTGCATCTACAGGATATTTTACAACTTTTAAAGCCATTCTCCGTGTTTAGTGTACACGCCGTACAACATGTTTGGAATTGACGGGAGTAAAGTTGCACTTACGAACAAATCCACTTACGAACAGACCTCTGGAACCTAACTCGTTCGTAAAATAAATAATGGTTATTATAAAGTGACCCAGGATGTTCTGCATGCCAGAGCTCCCCGCTGTAAAAGCGAATTGTCTTTGTTGTTGCCACCCCGAGCTCTACAAGTACCGCCTCCCATGCGCGCCCCTCCTAACCCTCCACGTAAATGGAAAGCATCGCCTAAGTCCCGCAGGTGCCGTGCTCCTCAATTGCATCCTCAGCGTCGTATTGCCAGGGTTCTCACGTTGGCTGTTCCACCGGCCACGACCATCGGCGTCGGTCCCACAAGTTTACACTCGCAGTGTGATGTCACCTGCGTGGTGCTCCCTCTAGATTGTCTTGCCGAATTAAAGGTCTATCCATAAGAGGTTTTTTTTGTTTGTTGGGGTTAGATCGTGTAAGTGTGAATGTGTGTCGTTAAACACGCCACCACCACCACCACCCGACACAGCCAATTGATGAGGTTTGTCACGTAAACAAAACGTGCCAATTACTACTTGAGTACACCGGTGTGTTGGAGACTAACCCACAATGTTTTCCAATTCGAGTGCTGTGACGTTTCACCGGTAATAACAACGCCCCCCCCTCCACCCACCCACCACCACCAAGGGAGCGGACGTTGGCCTCTACCTTCCGGACCCCGGCCTGGAGATCCAGCGCCGCTGCTCCTGCGGCTTCAGCGCCGTGGTGAACCGCCGGCTGGGCCCCAACGCGGGCCTCTTCCTGGAGGACGAGCTCGACATCGTGGGCGGCCCCCTCACCGAGTTCGGCCGCGCCGCCCAGCGGCGCCTCGAGTGCTGCGGCCAGACGGACGCCGACGGCGGCCTGCGCCTGGGGGCGGCCCGACATCCTGGATTCCGCCTCGCAGGACACGGCCACCCTCGTGTCGCTGCTCGAGGACAGCTGCAACAACCCCTTCCCGCCGCTCGGTCCTGGTCGCGTCGCCCTCGCCGCCGCCTCTCCCTCCGCCGCCGCTGCCGGGATTGTCGGCCCTGCCGGGCCTGCCGGGCCTGTCGGCGTTGCCCCGGCCCCGCGGCGGGGCCGATCGGCGATGCCCTGCGGCTGGACCTGAGCGACGGCAGCAGCGAGTGCGTGATGGCGTTGGAGGCCGGGCGGCAGTACGTGGACAAACCCGTCGGGAGGGCGCCATGGAGGAGACGGCCGTCAAGGGCACGCTGCTGCACCACTGGCCCGAGCGGCCCGGTGAGTTACGCGGGGCTGTGCGGTTAGGGGGGTTGGGGGGCAGGTGGATGTACCTACGTGCGTTTAACTTCTTTCGCACCGTACCTAGCCAGCCGTGCTAACCGGAGGTGCGCGGACCATGCCGATTGGCTGGGTGGGTGAATCACGGCTGCAGGTGGCTGGTAGGGGGGGGGCGGTTTCGGGATGGTTGGTAGTCTGCGGTTAGAGCGTTTGCATTCAGGGGCCATAATTTTAAATGCCTCGGCAACTCTGAGCAAGCTTGGCTCACCTCAACCATTCCATTACCTTGCTTCAGCCTCGCAAGGGACCCCCGCCCAGTGGCAGCTGTCCCTGCGCACCACGAGGTGAAACGAAGCGACGACCTGGAAACGGACATCCAGTCTGCCTGCATGTCGCAGGGCGATGTTGCTCGTTTTGGTACCGTGGATTTCGGCGGCGGCACACGCGCCCCCCCCGGACGCTTGGACCGCGAAACCTCCGCAAGCAAAGCCGGGGGCGGTCGTGCTTCTCGGCTCGAACCGCGTTCTAAACCACCAAGCTGACGACTTTTCGGTGGTCACGGTGCCCCGTCGACGTGGGGACGAGTCCGGGGGAATTCGCTCGCGCTTGCTGTGACGTACTTGTCTCGCTTCTCCCCCCCCGCGTGACCTGCTCGCGTTTTCCCCCGCGCCCGTCCCCGTCCCCCCCGCCCTGCGCGACCAGCGGTGGAGGTGTCGTCGCTGTCGAGCCAGGATGTGGTGCGGCTGCTGGGCTCCCTGCAGCCCGTGCTGCAGGACGCCATCCAGAAGAAGCGCACGGGCCGGTCCTGGGAGAATGTGCAGCACGTGCAGGGCCCGCTCACCTGGCAGCAGTTCCACAAGATGGCTGGCCGGGGCTCTTATGGTGAGGACGCCACCCGGGCGGGCTTGGGATGCTGGGGCATGTAAGCGCCACGTAAAGTTAAATCCTCACGGGTGCGCGGCCCCTTGCACCTGAATCTGTGCTCCTCCAGGACCACCACCCCCCCCCCCCCCCAATTGGCCTTAGATCCTGGATCTTGCCCCCCCCCCCCCCCACTGGTATGAGCATTTCGTCGCCACGCGCGTCGCCGTCTCGGTTGCGCCGCTCGGCGCGTCATGCCCCAACTCCGCCCGTCGTGCAGGAACAGAGGAGTCTCCGGAGCCGCTGCCCATTCCCTCACCTGCTCGTGGGCTACGACCGCGACTGCCTCATGGTGTCGCCGTTCTCGCTGCCGTTCTGGGACAAGCTCCTGCTGGAGCCGTTTGGGTCCCCGCGCGACATCGCCTACGTCGTGGTGTGCCCCGAGAACGACGCTCTGCTGCACGGAGCCCGCAACTTCTTCCGCGACCTCAGCACCGTGTACGAGGTGAGGGTTGGTGTCTGGCGTCTTCGCCTCCTCCTGCCCCCGCCCCCCCCCTCCACCCGCCCCCCCCCCCAACCTGCACCGCCCCGGTGGCAACCGCCAAGCCGGTGCCACTTCTCCAATTATTGTGCGGTGCGTCATAAACGTCGCCTAACGGGGAACAAATGCGGCCAGGCGTGCTGCCGGTCACCCACCCCCATCGTGTGCCGTGCCGGCCTTCGTAGGTGCTGGCTACTCGCTCATGGCACTTGCCTATAAAAGAATGGGCATCTCTGTCTCGTCTTGTGATTGCGCAGAACTGTCGCCTGGGCCTCCACCGGCCCATCACCAAGGTGCTGCGTGATGGCATCATGCGCGTGGGTCGCTCGGCCGCCCAGAAGGTGTCGGAGCAGCCGGTGGACGAGTGGTTCTCGCAGAACGTGGGCCCGCCCGGCAGCGCCGCTCACGAGGCCTTCTGCAAGCTGCGGCTGTTTGCGCAAGTGTGCAGGCATCGCCTGGGTACGGGAGTGTAGAGAGAGAGAGCGAGCGTATTTCTCGCACGGCACGATGCAACGACGTTACTCGGCACGATCCACACTCGCGTGCGCGCGTCCCTGTCGTCCGGTCACTCCCCGGTGGTTAACGGCGGTAATGGTTGCAATGGGAGTTGCTGCAAGACGCTCGTGAACAGAGCGGCCTCCCTCGTTGCGTAGACGACGCAGGAAAAAATTCCCCCCCCCCCCGCTTCGATCTTTTGCCCCCAAGCTCGTGGGGCCACAACCCCCTGAACCGCATCTTCACAAACCGTAGCAGCAGCTGCATGGAAAATTAAAAGATCGTCGGTGTGCGATGAATGTGGGTCACCTGGTACAGAACTGTGGAATGTACGAGTGACATTTTCCATTTCTCACGTGACGAAGTTGTTTTTGACTTGCAATTGCTTCGTTCTGTACACTGTTTAAAAAAAAAAAATGTTGCCACTTTGGTGGCCCAAGCTCATCCTGGCCTCTCTTGAATTCCCAACATTGTTGAACAAAATAAATAAACGAAAACCATATTAAACATGGGCAGATCTTGGTCCCCCACCCCCCCCCCCCCACTTGGCCCAGTTCTTCCCATCATTTTAACGGTCATCCCTTCTGTTTACTATTTACTGTTTTTATTTTACCAAGTAAGGCCCACTCGGCTATATATAGTTATTTTTCATCAGCGACCTGGCCACAAATGACGCACGTTTCTAAATTTACAGCAGGCATCAGGGTCTGGATCGAACCCACGACCTCCTGCATACCAGGCGAGGTAGTTGACATCTCGCCACCGTGGCGCTCATTCTGCCTGCAGGGCCCTCACCTTGCGACACAACAGCTCGACCAGCTCCCTGCTGGCGCAGTCGTCGAGCCAGCGTGCCCCTCCGCAGCAGCAGCAGCAGCAGCAGCCTGGCGCTTCGGCGGGAGCTGCCGCTGCCCCCGCCTCCGCAGCCACGGGCCCGAGCGGCGCCCAGGGCCCCGCGCAGGCCGACGCGAGCGGCGGCGGCGGCGCCGGGACCGCGGGTGGTGCTGGCGGTTGTGGAGCCGGTGCCCGGCCGGCGGCGGCGGTGCTGCTGGCGGTGGTGGTGGCGGGCCCAACGGCGGCGGCGGCGGTGGTGCGGCTCGGCGGTGTTCCCCGGGTCGTCGGCCATGCCCGGCGGGCAGCAGCAGCAGCAGCAGCAGGCTTCGACACAAGCGTCCGGAGCAGCGCCTGCACGCAGCCAGCGCCCGGGGTAAGGTGGCCCTGCCGTCTTTGTATTGACGCTGCTGCGGTTTCGTCTCGGGTTGGCCGGGAGGTTCCGGAGGGGTCGGAGTGCTCCTGAGCTTGACGACCGCTGAGAAATCGTGGGTTTGGCAGTGCCCCCGAGTTCACTCAAACTAGAAACATTGCCAGTAGGAATATATGTTTACGTTTTTCCTTTCGGCCAGGATAAACATGCCTGCAAGCGGGTAGGTAAGTAACGCTTGCGTGGCCGATTCAAGGTGGTAGGCCCCTCGTGCGGCTGCGATCCTTTATTAAATACATTTGCGGGGCCGTGAGCTCTTCCCCCACCCTGCGCTAGGAAGAGAGCGAGGGAATGACGGCACTTGTTTCTTCCTCTCAGCAGCCAACCGGCATGCCGTCGCTGTCGCAAGGCATGATGGGAAGCCAGTCTTCCCTGCAGCCTCCCCAAAACTTCCTTGGTCAGGGGTCGACTGGAGCAACGCAAGGCATGATGGGAGCCGCGTCAAGCCACCACCAGGTGCTCGTTGCCCCCACCTCGCCGCGCCGCCGACGCGGCCGTTTTGGGTTCGCACGTCGTTCCGGGTCTCGTCCCGAATCGTCGTCGTCCACGGGGGCCTTTGTTGTCGCTCGCGTAGCCGAGGTCTTGCAGACGCCTGCACACACACGAGCAGATTTTTCACCGCTCCGGTATCCTCTTTTGACGGCGTCCTCGGATCCGTTCCGCCGTTCCGTTCCTCGGCTGCCACTCCCCTCGGGAGTCTTGACCCGTCGGCCATCAAGCCCCCACTTCTATCAACCCCCCCCCCCCTTTCTTTTCTTACAGTTGAAAGTTAGCGGAGTTGACAGTTTTATCATTCGCTTGCATCGATGTGTGTGGGTGCTTTGGCGCACTGTATTGTAAAGCTTAGAGCTGCAGTGTTATGACTGTACTAAACTAAACTATGAATTTTTTTTTTTATTTTACTACGCAAAGGCAATTGAGCAATGTAGCTCTTTTTCTAGAAGCGACCTGGGGCCACAAATGATAGGTCAACAAAGTGGCTTATCACGTGGATATTTTCGCAGTAGCCAAATCATTTAAATGCGTGACGTTGATTCTAAACGTAGAGGGAAAAAGTTCTATTTAAAATTTTCCAGGTAAGGAAAACATTTTTGTCCAGGTAAGGCCCCACTGGGCTCCTATATGGCTCTTTTTTTCAATAGCGTTTCAAGGTGGTAGGCCCAGAAAAACACGTGGATTCTAAATGTGGAGGAAAAAAAACGGAGGACCCGGAGAAAAATCCACGCGACCACGGGGAGAGAGACACCACAAACTCTAAATATACAGCAGGCATCAAGGTCTGGATCGAACTCCTTGCTAAACCAGGCGAGGTAGTTAACATCTCCTGGCGACGGTGGTGTACTTAGGCCAAGATGTTGACAGGTTTGCATTATGCCTGCTCCTGCACAGCAAGTGGTCACTCACTGTGGCGGTGTTTTCACTGTTACTCGTTGCTCAAGTAATGATGGCTAATTTCATTGTGGCCGTTTTACCTCCCCTTTCTATTGCTGCAGGGCATGATGGGAAGTCATCAAGGTCAGAACCAGTCCGGAGGTGGCGTGGAGGTGGACGGAAGCTCGGCCACATCACAACCGATGGACGTCCCCGACAGGTCAATCACTGCCCCATGGAGCTGCTGTCCACTTAACAACTCGGCTTGAAAGCAATTTAACGTGAAGCTTCGTGTTCGCACCTCCGATTAGCGCGGTTGGCTACGTACGGTGCGAAAGAAGTTCAACATGCACACGTACAAAACTAAGCAACGTTACAGCCGCCGAACTTAAATAAGTTTGGCGGCTTAAATAAGTTTGGTGGCTGCATCGTTGTTTAGTTTTGTATCTGTGTATGTTGAGCTTCTTTTGCACCCTACGTAACGAACAGTGCTAATCGGGAGATGCGGGGTCGGTGGAAGGGCAAATGAAACGAATCGAATCGCCGAGGTTAAAATGTTTCGTCGGTGCTTTGCGGTCGCGCAGCACCGGCACGGAACGCGAGCGCGAGCGGATCGGCGTGCCCACGGAGGGCGGCTCCCTGGAGGTGCCGGTGCCGCCGGCCGTCGTGGTCTACATCGTTGACCCGTTCACCAGCGACGAGGGGCGACGACGCGGGAGCGGGCGGCGGGGGGCCGGACGACCCCGCGCTCGGCGCGTCCGTGTGGACGCTCGGCCTGCTGCGCTGCTACCTGGGCATGGTGAAGCACCTGCCCAAGCACATGCGCGATGCCATGTGTGTGCAGGTGAGGCACGGTTGGGGGCGACTGAACGCCTGAATAACACGGAATGATAGGTGACGTTTGGGGCAGTGGGGGGCCCTCTTTCACAGGACGTGTGGACGATTGTCTTCTGGGCGGGGGGCGGGGCGGGGGGGCGGTGGTGGGGAGAGGTTTTGCAGTCTTCAATTTTCTTTAAAACGCCACCATAGTAAAGAAAATGTTTCGTGTTAGATCGCGTAAATATGAACGCATTGTTGAACCCAACACGGCCAGTTAGTAAGGTATGTCACGTAAACAAATGTGCCAATTAGTTACTATTTAAGAGTGCACTCACTACAACATTTACATTTCGAGTCCGACGTTTCGCCGGTGATTACAACAACCAGCATCAGCAGGCGATGGCCATAATTGTGAAGAAGTCCTCCTGTTTTGTGCTGACATAGAGGGGTAAAGGTGATGCCATCACTGAGTGTGTCAGCTGTGACGACCAGAGGGGGGTTAATGTAGTCGTAGAAGTTAGAATTGATCGTGCCAATCTTACGAAAATACGCAGCACCTATGGTTGGTTGGGTTATTTAGACTGCGTTGACAGTAATGTGGACTGGCAATCTTGTTTGGCATAAGCGTCAACGTTGAGGCGACCCACGCCCTATCAAGTAAATTAAACTAAACACTTTTTTTTATTTTACCAGGTAAAAGCCCACTGAGCTATATAGCTCTTTTTCAGAAACGACCTGGCTGTCACGAATGTTAGTTCACCGAAGTTGCTCATCATCACGTGGCAATTTATAGCAGCCAAATAATCTAAACGCGTGATGTTGATTAAAAAAAAAATGTGGAGGGGGGGGGGGGGGAATAATCGGGAGGACCTGGAGAAAAATCCACACGACCACTTGGAAAGACAACGTAACGAGCTCGCCGTGTGAACGCTGCCTTGCCGCCGCTCCTCTGTGGTTCCTTCGAGTCATCCTGTCCTCTGCTCAAGAGCGAGTGAGCGACGCGTGGCGGTGTCAGCGACGCGTGGCGGTGTCAGCGACGGTGCGTCGTCGTTGTTGCGAGGTCACCGTTGTGACTTCAGCAATTTCCCCCCGCGGACAAAACGGCGCCGCGGGAGCTTGGCGGAGCGATGGCGGGTCGACGGGCGCGCACGGGAACCAGGACCTCGCCTTTTACCGCCGTCCGCCGCCTTCCCCGCAGGTGGTGCCCAGCCGCTACCTGCTGCAGCCGGTGCGCCTGGAGGAGCACCCGCTGCACGTGCAGCACCTCAAGTCGCTGGCGTTCAGCGTGTACGCGCAAGTGCCGCCGCCCGCTGCCGCACCCCGTCAGCATCCGCACCCTCACGGGGTTTGGGCCCGCGGCCGCCATGGTGTCCACGTTACGTGAGCTCGAGGTGAGGGGCGGTGGGGAGGGGGGGGGGTGGTGGGGGGGTGGGTGGTGGGGGTGGTGGGGGGGGGGTGAGTGGGGGTGGGGTGGTTCCCCGCAGGTGGTGGGGGGGGGGGTTGTTAGAGCTACCGCCTCCTCGTGTGCCGTGCCGGCCTTCAGAGGGCGCCCGCTTAACAGCGCTTGCCCCAACAGTCTGTTCAGGCTATCCGAGGAGGGGCGGGGGCGGGGGGGGGGGGGCGATCTTCGGCTTCGTTTTGCGCGAGCTCGATTCTCCGCCAGCCTTTATGGTTTACTCACAAGTCACAAGTTTGTGTGCCCTCTTTGTGTCGGCGCGCAGCGTCCGGAGCGCCTCCAGATCTACTCGCCGCCGTTCATCCTCGCGCCCGTCAAGGACAAGCAGACGGAGCTGGGCGAGACGTTCGGCGAGGCCGGCCAGAAGCACAACGTGCTCTTCGTGGGCTACTGTCTGTCCCACGACCAGCGCTGGCTGCTGGCGGCCTGCACCGACCTGCACGGGGAGCTGCTCGAGACCGCCATCATCAACATCCACGTGCCCAACCGGTGCGCGCCCGCTCGCCCTCTCTCGCGCTCCCTCGAGCCCTCTTTCGCCCTCTCTCGCGCTCTCTCTCGCCCTCTTTCGCCCTCTCTCGCGCTCTCTCTCGCCCTCTTTCGCCCTCTCTCGCGCTCTCTCTCGAGCCCTCTCTCGCCCTCTCTCGCGCTCCCTCGAGCCCCGGGGGTCGGCAATGTTTCTAAGAAGAAGAGCCGTTGGTTTTTCGTCTTTGACCAAGATAGTTGGAGAGGCGCATCACACGCCGAGCGAGCTGCTTGTACGCAAACACAGCGGCGGGTGTTTAGTGACGAACAAATTCTGGCTGGCACAAAATCGTTTGACTGTTGTACATTTATCACCAAGACACTCCACAGTGGGCCCCATTCCCTGCCATATTTAATCAATGAAATTACTTCGATGGTTTTAAGTTAGATTTTTTTTTTTTAAGAATGACTGGCTGCAAGGGGCGGCCCATGGAGCTGAATGCCGCTCCAGAGCCAGCGGTTGCCTGATCCCTGGCCTCGCCTCCTCGTAGTTTTACACGAACAAAATGATAGAGATAGATATATAAAGCTAATATGAAATGGTGTTCCATGTTTACGAGCGCGGATTGCGTTCAACCTTTTTGAGGATTCTCCCCAACCAAAGCCGCCGTCGCACGCAGGACCACGGTGACTTTTGCCGTGGCTGCCACCGCCCCCCACGTGGCCTTTCGTGTTCACTCCCGCACCTCCGACTTGAGCACAGTTGGCTACGTACGGCGCGAACAAGAAGTTCCACGTGCATGTAACGAGCGTGCAGACTCGCACGCAGCTTTCGCGAAGACAGAGATCCCCCCCTCGCCACATGATCTTTAACAGACCCATGGGGAAAGTTCCACACGCAGACATACACTCCCGCAGCACTGCCGCTGTGCACCCGCCTGTCGGACTGACACACCCCCCCCCCCCCACTACCCCACCGCCTCATTTGCCCGCGACAGCTCGCGGAGAGGCAAGGTCGCGTGCCGTCGCTTCGGCCTCAACAAGCTGTGGGAGTGGTGCCTGGGCGTGATGCAGCTCACCTCCATCCCCTGGCGGGTGGTCATCGGGCGGCTGGGCCGCGTGGGGCACGGCGAGCTCAAGGGTGAGTTCCCGAGCCGTGTGCCTTGCACTCACGGGGGGGGGGGGGGACGGAGGGGCGGGTCCGTAGCCCTTAACCCCCGCCATCGCTCCTCTAACCGCGTGGCTTCTTGTTCGGGCAGACTGGCACATCCTGCTGGGACGGCGCGCGCTGCAGTCGAGCTCGCGCAAGCTGAAGGAGACGTGCCGCATGTGCGGCATCTCCGCGGCCGACTCGCCCTCCATCCTCTCCGCCTGCCTCGTGGCCATCGAGCCGCAGGGATCCTTCTTCATCATGCCCGGTGAGATCGGCTGTCTCTGTCGCTCTCGTGTCTCTCTCTCGTGTCTCTCTCTCTCGTGTGTCTCTCTCTCGTGTGTCTCTCTCGTTCGTGTCTCTCTCGTGTGTCTCTCTCTCGTGTGTCTCTCTCTCGTGTGTCGCTCTCGCGTGTGTCTCTCTCTCGTGTGTCTCTCTCTCGTGTGTCTCTCTCTCGTGTGTCTCTCTCTCGTGTGTCTCTCTCTCGTGTGTCTCTCTCTCGTGTGTCTCTCTCTCGTGTGTCTCTCTCTCGTGTGTCTCTCTCTCGTGTGTCTCTCTCTCGTGTGTCTCTCTCTCGTGTGTCTCTCTCTCGTGTGTCTCTCTCTCGTGTGTCTCTCTCTCGTGTGTCTCTCTCTCGTGTGTCTCTCTCTCTCGTGTCTCTCTCTCGTGTGTCTCTCTCTCGTGTGTCTCTCTCTCGTGTGTCTCTCTCTCGTGTGTCTCTCTCTCTTCGTGTGTCTCTCTCTCGTGTGTCTCTCTCTCGTGTGTCTCTCTCTCGTGTGTCTCTCTCTCGTGTGTCTCTCTCTCGTGTCTCTCTCTCTCGTGTGTCTCTCTCTCGTGTGTCTCTCTCTCGTGTGTCTCTCTCTCGTGTGTCTCTCTCTCGTGTCTCTCTCTCTCTCGTGTCTCTCTCGTGTCTCTCTCTCTCTCGTGTCTCTCTCGTGTCTCTCTCTCTCTCGTGTCTCTCTCGTGTCTCTCTCTCTCTCGTGTCTCTCTCGTGTCTCTCTCTCTCTCTCTCTCGTCTCTCTCTCTCTCGTGTCTCTCTCTCGTGTGCCGCTCTCGCGTGCCCGCTCCCCGCTCGAGTTGCTGCGTTATTACTTTTGTCGCGATGTACGCCAACGAGACAATCGCCGCGAACGTTAAGGAGCAACGTTTTGCGGAACAACAAAAATCGTAACAAGCCACCGTTCCCACTGACCCGCTAACACCCCTCCCCATCACCACCAGGCCTTTTGCGGGACCGCCAGCGGCCTGTGGGCCACGGCTTGGGAGGAGGCCACTTTTGTCAGGGCCACAGCTTGAGAGGGGGGGCCCCCCCAGTTGGATACCCTTCTGCCAGATGGCGGCATGAACCCGCCACTTGGCGGGGCTTTCACCTTCGCCCGGCGTCTCCTGCGTGTTACGATTGTGCATCCTCGTTTTCGCTTGGCTCTTACCGTTTGTAACACGCTCGGGCTCCCGTTGGCCCCGTGTTTGTCGCGCGCTCGACGCGTCGCCCGGCGGCGCTAACGACCCTGCGTCGCCCCCCTTCCCCCCCCCCCCCCCCCCGACCCCCCCACCACCACCACCCGACCGACCCACCTCGCAGACTCTGTGTCGACGGGCTCGGTGTTCGGCCGCAGCACGACGCTCAACCTGCAGACGTCGCAGCTGAGCACCCCGCAGGACGCGTCGTGCACTCACATCCTCGTCTTCCCCACCTCGGCCGCCATGGTGCCCACGCCCAACTTCAACCCCGAGCACCTCGACTTCAACTCCAACAATGGTTTGTGCCACCCACCCACCCCCCCCCCCCGTGGTCTTGGAGCCCTTTTACACAGGTGCTTGCAAGGTCACGCTCACTAGCACAAACTGTACGTAGCCAACCGCATTAATCGGAGGTGCGGGAGAGGGCCAACAAACTTAACACTAAAAACAGTTCTAAAAGCACGACTTGTCAATGTAGCATAATGATATAGTAGTGTATGATAGTGTCGTGCATAGCAATGGAGTGTGTACGTATGTCGAACTTCTCTCGCACTGTGCGTAGCCAACCGTGCTAATCGGAGGTGCGGGAATATATATATCTTGCCGATGTCATCTGGGAGCATAAAGAACTCCAGTAATCCTCGCGGTTACATCAGCGACTTGTGGCTGGCCGTCATAGACGGTGGTCACCGCGTCGCGCGGTTTCGGATGTGCTTCAGTGGCCGTGTGAAGCGCTCTTCCTTCCCATGTTAGGAATCCACCGGAGCTAATAGCTGTTCGCGAGTAGCACCTGTGAAAGCCGGCGCAGACATTTAAACCAGTTCGTTAGCAAATGCAAGACAGAACTGTTTAATAGAGCTTACAATGTATGAACATTGCGGTGGAGCAGAGGGGAGGGGGGGGTCTGTGGAGCAGAAGTGGAGGAGCGATGAAGCTTCCGCCGTTGTGCTTCTCCGCGTTGACTGTCGCGTCCGTGTCTCCCCCACCGCTCCGTAGAAGTCATGGACATCTTGGAGGAAGATATCTTCGACCTGAGCAGCGTGGACCCCGAGCTGTCGCAGCTCATCAACCTGCACCCTTCTCCGACCGCCTCGCCTGGCTCCCCATCGGGGTCGCCCTCCGGCCCCCACGGGGACGCCCCCTACCAGCATGGCCAAGGAGCCGGCAAGGTGATGCCCGCGACACGGCTTGGTCCTCACCGGCTCCTCGGCCGCCCCCCCTTTCTCGTCCGGTTCCTGTCGTTAAACCTCCTTCCGTCCCTCGCTTCAATGCCTCACCTCTTCTCCGTCGTCCAATTCTCTTCCTCTTCCCCCCCCCCCTCGCCCCTCCATTTCTTTCCTCCCCTCTCCTGCCCTTCCCTAATCCCCCGACACACCCCTCTATCGCGGTCACCCATTCCACATCTCTTGCATGCCCCTGCCATTTAAATCATTCTTGGTTATGCCGTTTCTTTGTTATTGGAAATGTGTGTGGGGGGGGGGCGGTGGGGAATCACAAGACATCCTGACCACCCTGTACAACAGCAGATATCGCCAAGGGTCTGGGGTCGAACCCGCGACCTCCTTGCGCACGGGGTGAGGGAGGAGGCTAACGCCTCGCCGTGGTGACGAACGCGGCGCGTGTGCCCCCCCCCCCCCCCCCCCCCCCCGCCCCCCCCCCCCCCCCCCCCCCCCGCGTGCCGGTGACCGCAGCACCAGGGCGGCGAGCGGCTGCTGTCGGCCGAGTCCCACGAGGAGGTGACCAACCTCCTGCAGCAGCCGCTGGCGCTGGGATACTACGTGTCGACGGCGCCCGCCGCTCCGCTGCCCCAGTCCTTCTGGGCCTCGTGTCCCCAGGCCCAGCAGCACTGCCCTCTCTTCCTCAAGGTAGCTCTACCCCCCCCCCCCTCTCTCCATCTCCCCCCCCACCCCACCCACCTCTCGCTCCCCCTCTCCCCACAGTGCCACTCACATTTTGTTGTCTCTCTCCCCCTCTCCCCCCCACCTCCATTCACCCGCAGGCATCGCTGCATCTGCACGTGACCTCCGTGCAGTCGGACGAGCTCCTGCTGTCGAAGCTGTCGCACCCCCTGGACTCGAGCCGCACCTCCGACGTGCTGAGGTGAGGAAGGCAGAGGGGGGGGGTGTGGGCTGGGGGGTCGTGGGCTCGTCGAGGGTTTGGGGGTAAGCTCAGCCGGTGGTGGTCTCGGATCTTGGCTTTTGGCTCGGCCGCCGAACAAAAGCGCTTTTGCGGCCGTCTGGAACGCTCTTCCTTCCGATATTAGGAAGCCACTGGAGCTGTGCACTTTTAAAGCCTCATTATCTAGGTTGACAAACTAATTTCTTTAGAGCTGCTTTTTGTGCGTTAGTTTGTCCTTCTCCCGCACCTCCGATCAACACGGCTGGCTACGTACGACGTGAAAGAACTTCGACGCACACACATGGCAACTTGCCCCGACCGATTAGCATCTGTAGACGGGCCACCGCTTAATGACAGTCACCCCGACCCAGTTGGCATCTTGTTGTGACGCTTGTTGGCGTGCGTGTGTACGCGTGTGCCCCTCCCACCTCGCCCTTCCCTCCACCCGCCGCTGGTTTTGCGCGCGTGCAGGTTTGTGCTGGAGCACTACAACGCACTGTCGTGGCTGTCGTGCGATCCGGCCACCCAGGACCGCCGCTCCTGCCTGCCCGTGCACCTCGTGGTGCTCACCCAGCTCTACAACACCTTCCGCACGCTGCTGTAGCAGCACTCCGCCCGCCCGCCCGCCCGCCCTGCCTGCCGCCCGGAACTCCACGAGACCCCCGGGAGGAGTGGGTGTGGGGTGGGAGTGGGGTGGGAGTGGGTGACGGGCGCTCGCGTCGGTCCGCCCACCGCTGCTCCTCCGCTTGGCGCCCGCCCGACACCGGAAGTGAGCCGGACGGCCGGCCGGCGACGAGAGGAGGAGAGGGGACACAAAAGAAACAAACGGGGACCTCTGCCGACAGAATTTGTGCGCGCGTTGATGATGTCGGGTGAAGATGAAGAAAGATGGGTGATGATGATGAGGACCGCGATGACGATGATGACCGCGATGACGAGAAAAATCGGTGGAAGTGGGGGGCGTTGATGAAGTGCGATGTGTCGTCGTCCCCCCCCCCCCCCCCGATTTCCGATCGGACATGATGGCGGGAGTGGGGGTGTGGGCGGGGGGGGTGGTGGTGGTGTTGGTATCTGAGCATCAGTGCAACGGGGAAGAAGGAGAATCTGGATTTTGTTTGCGTCCGTATCCTCGCTCCGACCGCCCGCCCGCCCGCAAGATCTTTGTCCCCTCGCAAGCCAATCAAAACAGCCAGCCGTTGAGGACCCCAGCGATGTGCCAAGACTGCTTTACCTACACAAGTGTTAAACAAACAAACAAAAACCGTCTGTTGTTCCCTTGGCCGTTCACTCCCTCGCCCAGTCGCCCTCGTGGGGTGGAAAACAAAAACTTAAAATGATGACAAACGAGAATACAAAAATCTTTAGCCCGTCTCCTCCCTCTTTTAAACTCTTCACTTAGCTCCCCCTTGTCCTTTTGCGTGACGCTAAAGCTAAAAAAAAAATAATGACGAGCCTGCCGTCGTTTTAGCGATTCTCCGGTCGTTGGGTGTCCACGATGAAGTTCCGGTGGGAAAAATTGGCCAAAACCGTGATTGCGATTTTGTCCGATTCCACAGCACTCCCCCTCCTCGCTTAAGTTTTGTACAAAGCGCTGTTCAATGGCTCTCTACTACGCGACGCTAACAAACAAAACTGCCTTTTGGGTTTCTAGGTCCGCTTCTTAAGTGGACCTATGTTTCATGGTCTGTTTCGTTGGCATTAAAATAAATAAATTCCTTTAAGGGTTACTTTTAAATCGTCTATTGAGTGGAGTTTCTCCCGATGAGAGGAGTATATTGGAACCGTCTCTCCTGCAGGTCTGCACAAAAGCGACGGCATGTTATAGGCCTCTTTTTTTTTAAAGACTTCAAACTTAAAAGAAGATTTGGCCGCTTTTCATAAAAAATAATAATGATTTATTATTGATTTCTTTGCCCCTAAAGTTTTTGATTGCTGTGCGAGCTGAGCTTTTAAGTGGAGGGGGTGGGGGGGGGGGGCGAGAGTGAAGCAAAATGACAAGGAGAGAGAGAAAGAGGAGTCGGAGGGGGAAGAGGATGGGGTTGGGGTCACGAGGGAGTGATGGCGATGGGGACCCACCCCCCCAATCTTTTACCCTACGGTCCTCTCTCGGAAGACGGAAGTGGCAGCGGTCCCTGCCATGAGCACTCGCACACCCCCACACACTCGCACACCCCCACACACCTCACACCCCCACACACACCCCCCACACACACACACCACACACCCCCACACACACACACACCCACACACACCCCCACACACACACACCCCCACACACACACACACCCCCACACACCACACACCCCCACACACATCACACACCCCCACACACACACCCCCACACACCCCCACACACACACCTTACACCCCCCCACACACACACACCCACACCCCCACACACACATCCACACTCGCTCACACCGCTCAGTATTGTCGCGCGGCCCACCGAATGACGGCGGCCATCTTTGTAATTAGTACTGTACAGTGTATACAGATCAGATGACTTAACGGAACAATGATGATGTGTTTTTTGTGGGGTGATAATGGATTGTGAAAGGGTGATGGCTTTGGGGATGGGGGGGGGTATGTGCTTGGGTGGGGAGATGGGATATGGAAGGGGGGTGGGAATGGGGGGGGGTTGTGGGTAATTATTAAAAAAAACTCAAGTGAAATTAAAAAATAGGAGAAAAAAATATACAACTTTTAATTTACTGGACTATTTTCGTAAGCAGATTTTAAAAAAAAAGATACAAATTTGACATATGCTTTTTCTCAAATATATTAAAGAAAAGTTTTAAAAAATGTAAAATTGTATACAATGTTTAAAACTTTTAGTGTTTTTTCATACGACTCTGTAACAATTTTCATCTTTTTTTGTAGCCCCCCCCCCCGATTGGGGTGGGGTTGGTGGGCGGCTGGCCACGATGGCTCTGCACAGCCCCCCCCCCCCCCCCACGGATTCTCCCGCTCCTCGCTCCTCTTCTTATTTTTAATCGACTTGCGGCTCCTCCTTTATGTCTCTTACTTTTCCTTGGAAGCAAAATGAAAGCGAGAGAGAGAGAGGGAGGGAGGGGGGGGGGGAGGGAAGACCTTTATTTAAACGTTTTAAAGTTAAAAAAAACTAAGTTTTTTTTGGTCGGAATATTTATAGAAAAATGTGTGTTCTTAACCTATTGAAAAAGGTAAAAAAAGAAAAGCTTACGTTCTCTAAATGACTACGAATCTTGAGCCAGAGAGCGAGCGAGCGTGCTTCAAGGCAGCACGCCGTGAAGAGCTAGAAAGGGGGGCGTGGGGGGGGGGGGATCTCCCCTTTTTTTTGGGGGGGGGGGGGAGGGCAGCAGCGGAGGGTTTGGGGGTGTGAAGGTGTCCACGGTGGGATTAGGGTGGGGGGTTGGTTGGCCAAGTTGGGGGGTGGCGAGGGAGGTGTCGGTGACCCTGCGACTGTGGCGGAGGTTTGACGAAGATCCGCAGGGCACCCCCCCCCCCCTGCTCCGAGGCGCCGATCATCCCCCTGGGGTGTGCCGCCGCCACTGCCGACTCTTCCCCCCCGCCACCCCCCCCCCACTGTCGAGGACAGCCCCCTGCCATTCCGACTCCCATGCCAAGCCAGCCTAGACTAAGCATTTGCATGATGAGTGTACATTTCAGACTTTTTAACGAAAACGCTGTATAATTTATGCTGTTCTTAATGATTTCCCCCCCCCTCCCCCCCCCCTCTTAAGCATTACACTGTGGGCTTTTATATGACAATAAACCACGTTTTCATCTGTAACTGTGTGTGGCTCCCTGCCAGTGATCGTCGCTCCAATATTAATAACGCCAAAGTTGTTGTTTTTTAACAAGCTTTCGACAATTTTAATGTAAGCAGTCCTCGATTTACGAACGCCCGCACTTACGAACACACGCACTTAACGAACTAGCGTCCATGAAATATCTATGTAAAATTACATTGACTTAAAATACCAACTCGCACTTGACAACCGCACCGCGAAGCTGTGTAATGAGTCTGCCTCGTGCTAGGAGTCGGTGTGTGTGTGTGCCCATGCGCACGTGTATGCGAGTGGAGTTGAATGTGCGCGCGTGTGCTCCCGCGTATGCGTGGGGAGCTGTCGTGCAATGTTTAGCACGCTGCACTACCAACCCGGCAAACCGAGTTCGATCCCCGCTCACGGCCGACACCAGTGACGATTGTCTGCATGGGTCCTGGGCTTTTCTATGTCGATTCGGCCTCAAATGAGTACCTGGTTCGGTGTGTAAATGTCGCCACTGGACGAGTCTTGTGGGTCATTTGTGGATTGGCTTGGTGCTGTGCCGGCCTTCGTAGGCGCGCTGTTCTCCAACAGTCTGAAGGCTGTGTGTGCGTGCGTGCCCCGTCGGGATGACCCTGCTGAGGCTGCCGTGCCTCAAATATTCGAGGAAGAAGTCACCCCCTGTGAGTGGCTGGCTGAGATGTCATCTGTTGAGGAAGTACTGAAGGCGATCTGGAGTCTGAGACCAGGAAAGGCACCAGGCAGAGATGATCTCCCAAGAGAAATGCTGAGCGAGGGTGGCGTTTGTGCACAGACTGCCCTACATTGCATCATAAAACAGTCTGGACCACTGGATGGGTTCTGCAGGATTGGAAGGATGCCCGGGTGGTCCCCCTCTTTAAGAAGGGGGACTTCACAGACTAACAACTACAGGGGTATCTCACTCCTCAGTGTGCCGGGAAAGGTCCTGGCAAGGATTATTCAACATCTCCTTGCTAGGCACGCTGAGAGGCTTTCGGAGCCCCAATGCGGTTTCAGGAAAGGACGGTCCGGCACAGATGCTATATTTTCTGTCCGTCTGCTACAGCAGAGGTGTAGGGAATTCCAGCAAGACCTACATCTCTGCTTTATTGACCTGGTAAAGGCCGATGATACCATCAATAGGCCTGGGCTCTGGGTTCTTCGTGCTTTCGGAGTCCCTGACTCTCTGCTCACAATCATTAAGGACCTTCGTGATAGTTAGCAGGCCCGAGTAAAACTACGTGGCCGGGAATCGGAGCCATTTCCTGTTCATCTTGAGGTGCGACAGGGATATCATTTGGCTCCCACATTATTTAACATCTATTTCGACCACGTAGTTCGTAAAGCCTTCGATTGCTGCACCGGAGGAATTTCCATCTGGTACAGATACAATGGGAGGCTGATCGATGCCCGGGTGCGGTCAAGGGATGGCTCCCTATTGCTCAACCACGTTATGTATGCCGATCTGGTTATTGTTGCTCACTCAGAGGAGAAGTTGGAGGGACTGCTGCTGAACCTGGAGTGTGCCACTAAGAGATGGGGCCTTACTATCAGCCCCACCAAAACTAAGCACCTGCCTGGGTATTTTGTACTATCGGACACTCCACCTACACAACTCCCAATTGGTGAAGGGGCAGTTATGGAGAGAGTGGAGAGTTTATCTTACCTGGGCAGTGTGCTCATGACCGGCTCCGGTTTGACAGCAGAGGTCTCACTCCGAATCAGTCGAGCGGAATTTTCTTTTCATCGGTTGCGTAACGCTGTGTGGAAGCTACCTGGTCTGTTGCTCCACACGAAGCTTCAGATCTTCTCGGCCACAGTCATGCCCTCCCTTCTCTATGCTTGAAAAACGTGGACCCCCCTAATGGAGCATCTTTGCCGGTGAGAAACATTTAGGCTGGCCTGCCTAAGCTCCATCCTGGGTTTAACCAGGCTGGGTTGTGTGAGAAGCTCACAAATCATTGAAAGACCTGGACAAAGTATCATCGGTGAGCTTCTCCGGCAGGTAAGGCTGCGTTGACTGGGTCATGTAGTCCACATGCCCAGCTACCGCATGCTTAAACAGATTTTGATCGGCCGGATCGAGGGGGCTAAACGGGCGCGGCACGGACTAGAGAAGAGATGCAGTGATGTGGTACAGGAGGACGTGGAGCTGAGTGGACTTGCCGATGACTGGTACCAGCGGTGTCAAGATCGGCCTCTGTGAAGGTGGTTCGTGAAGGACGCTGCTGCTACTGGGCAGTTGGAGGCAGTCGTCCTCCAACAACAACGGAGGGCGGAGGAGCGATGCTCACAACGACGAGCGGAGCGCCGGTTGACTAAAGCACAGCGGATTGGCACAGTAAGGGGGTACAGGTGGTGCATCGGCCACTCGTCTCAGTCGGTCGACCCGTGGCACCACCTGGGTCTATACCGTGACCTCCTGCCAGCGGGTGTTCGACACTTCACGTGGCCTCAACGTGCACCTAGCCTGGCACAAGCGCCGTGGTGACGTCACCGCCACTTCGTGGCGAATGGCGATTGTTGTAGTTTCTGTGTGTGTAATTGTCGTGACTGCACCCCTTCCGACAAGCAAGCCAACATCAAGACTCGAGGAAAGTGAACATGAAACGGATTTTGTTTCTATGTTCATTTCATGTTTTATTTACGATACAATATGTTTACAGTGTTACATGCAAATGTACAATATTTATTATTTATGAGTTCAACAATACTTCCCTTTGTTAAACCGTTACCCACTTCATAACTAACCGTACGGGCATCTAAATGCAGTGCATTAGTGTGTTCCGATTTATGGAGCTGTTCGACTTAGGAACGGGTCTTAGATTTTGGTAAGGCGTCCAGAGTTGAGGAAGCCTCTCGTGATGAAACTGAACGAAGCGGCATCAGAGCCAACTCCTCGAAACGCATTCTTCTAAAATGTGGAGGGCAAACAACCTCAAAGGACCCGGAGGGAAATCCACGCAACCACGAGGAGAGAGACACGCAAACTCCAAATATACAGCAGCAGCAGGCGTCGGGGTCGAACCCACGATCTCCTGTATTTCAGGCGAGGCAGTTAACATCTCCTAGCCACCGTGATGATGATGAGAGAGAGAGACGCAAACTCCAAATATACAGCAGCAGGCGTCGGGGTCGGGATCGAACCCACGACTTCCTGCACACCAGGCGAGGTAGTCAACATATCCGAGCCACCGTGGTGATGATGAGCGAGACGCAGACTACAAATATACAGCAGCAGGCGTGGTCGAACCGACACAATATTCCGCATACCAGGCGAGGTAGTTAACATCTCTGATGATAACATGGGGAGGGGGGAGAAGAGAGGACGATGGTGATGATGGTGATGATGATGATGGGAGAAAGGGGTATTCCTGTGGTCAAGCAGCA